GAGAATCTGGCCTTGACCACTGGCCTGAAAGGCTGGATTGAAACCAGCAGAACTTCCCAGACAATGTGCCTGGTCCCTGAGAGTTCATTTTAACCTAAGATGAAAAATAGTATTAATTAATTTTAAAGATGTGACATTCCACAGACTTCACTGCAAGGTTACACTTTTCCACTGTCTTACACAAATATGGCTATATCCTTTGGAAGAACATCCTCCTTTTTATGAATAACCAGTGAAAGCAATAACATTATGTTTTACTTTCTTGAACAGATGCCCAGCAAGTCTGTGTAAGCACAAAAGTACTACTTTGGAAAACAATGTATCTTAAAGCAGAGGGATTTTGCATTTGGGTTAATAATCATAGTATAGATTTCTTTTGCAAAAGGCACCTTTACCTGAGTTCTCTGGTTATTCTGGAGTGTTCTGTTCATGTAAAACATATGCAAAATTACTTATATGTCTTTAAGGCCCATTTTGGGGAAGAAAATAATACACTGAGGTTTTCTTTCACCGACAAATGTGGTTGTACACTAAACATGTTTAAATTTACTTTTGAAAAAAGGAGCTGAAAACATAGCATATTTTAATATTCCATATTTTTAGTAATATGAATTAGTTTAAAATACTGTATACATAAAAGCACAAAAAAAAGAGATATCCGAAATGGAAATTAGGAACAAAACCATCCCATGCACACCTTCTATCCCACTGCAGTTTATGAACCTGAACATGCCCATCTGCCAGTGTCGGCCTTTAATATTTTCCATCACTGACTCTAACTTCTCATTAATAGTCTGCAACCAGAAATCCTAATTCTTGGGTAGAAAGAAATCACAAACCCATCTATTATTCACTTCGAAAATGAGAAAATAAACTGCAAAAACTCTTGCATGGTACTTAAGAGTCCTTATCACCAAGAACTGCAGACAAATGGCAGGGAAAGCAGGATGAATTATGAGAGCAGGACACAGCTTTAACTGAAAAGGTTGAAAAGCTGCGGAAACTACTGCCCTTCTCTCTTGAGTAGCACACATTTTTCTAGTTCCACATAATATTTCAGAACTTAATCCCTTTGGTCACCCACTGCTTGGCCTCCCCCTGAATTCTCTTAATCCTTTCTGCACAGAGCAATGATATCTTCAACTCTTGAAGAAAGCACGTCTGCAGGGCTTTCCAATGTCATGGAAACCAGACAAAAATTTAAACGGCAAGTCATTCTTTCATTCTCTTCTAACATTAAAGAGGCATGCAGTCACATCTTTATAACTTAAACCTCCATCTCATCTAAAAAGAAACTGAAATTTCTTGGCTCAAAAAGCAAACATATTCTTCCTGACACAGCAACATACAGAGTCAAAAACCTTTGCAAAGAGTTCTCCCAAACATTTCAACTGCAAGGACAGACCAGCAAAAGAAGCATGTTGGCACTAGAACAACCTGGAATGATTTTTAACAGAGACTCCTTTAAGAAACAACAGAATCTCCCACATCCTAAACTGTCCCACCACTATGCCATAACCCACACTTTTCTTTTTTACAATGGAAATAGGGAAAAAGAAAGACCATTCCTTGTCTCAAAGATGAACTCTCTTGAGCCAAAGAAGAATTCATGTCAGAGAACTCCAACACTGTCATTCTCTGTATATGGTGAAAACAAAACTCTCTTGTGTGAGAGGGAGAAAAGTTATTATTGCCCTCTCTCAAAACATCCCTCTGAAACATCATTTTCTTTTTTATTTACGGACACAGAACTTCATTTAATCAGAACAAAAACATGGCAGCAGATTTTCAGTTGCAGCAAATTGCCATCTTTTCACAAGAGTCACTGGATTTTCTGTTTCATTGAAAGAAGAACATGAACATTCCCAGAATTCCAAATGCACCAAAATAATTTCAACTTTCTGTAAATCAAGGTACACATTGTTGCAGGTGTTGGGAGGAAAGGGTTAAACCCACAAGATTTGTTAAAGATGAAATAATTTCAGTCAAAGTGACCTTGCAGCTGGGAACACTAAGCATTTTGGTGCGGGGAAACTCCAGTTATTATGTCTGCTGTTGTTCATCCTCTGCCTGTTTTGAGAAGCAGAATTCCTGTGTGGAGACAACACCCTATCACAGACATGCTTGAGCCCTCTGTCTGCTGGGAGAAGGAGTGAGCACAGAAGCACAGCCTTGTGATAATCGGCTCCTGCAGGAAACCTCTGATATCCTGGGGCCAGCAGCAGCCCCACCCCATCTTTTCTGTGCACTAGGATGAGCTGAGCCTAACAGAGCTGGGTCTCTGTGTGTCTCCAGTGCCTGGTGTTGCCAGCAAGGTGATGAAATAAATCTGCTCTTTGCATTTCAGCTGAGGCTTCCTGGTTGCCCTGGTTACCTCTAAGTATTGATTCATACAGCAGGTCACTCATTACTCAGTGTGTGTCACAGGCTTGTGGTACATCCTGAGGAACAAGCTGGAAAACACTGCCACCTATTTCTGTTGCAACATCTTGTACTCTTCAAGAAATTTATTCCCCTTCTTTTGTGAGCAAATAGAAAACTAATTTCAAGCTATGCCATTGTTGGTTCACAGGTTCACACTAAATTTGCCAGCTCTATCAATATCATGTACATTCATCTAGAAATACCAAGGCTTGCTACCAAATACAGGTGTAAAAAATGCTTTTGAAAGAGGAGAATGTTCTGTCCCCATCATTATAATCCAGAGGTCAGGCTTGCTGCTATCCTTAACTTGAACAGCAGCATGAGATTTAAAGCCTCAGAGAGTGTGACCCTATAGGCCACAAATAGCCTTCATCTTCCCAACCTTCAGCATGTCACCCAAACTGTATGGATCCCCTTCCAGCATTTAGTGCTCTTCTTGGCAGCATCCCACCTCTATCTTGGAGGAAGAATCAGAATATATGCCACAGTAATTTCTTCTTACTGAAAAGGGCCTTGGACAGGTGGGCAAGCAGGAAACCACAGCACACTCCAAGATACTGACTTTTGGGAGACAGGACAGGTAGTACTTTTTGGATCTCATTGAATTCTGAGCTTCAATTTCATCAAGAAGAAAAACAGGAAGCTAACTCAGACTGGAGACTCTTGGGGTGAAACAGAGGCAAGTCCATACAAAAGAATTCCTGCAGAAGTAACACAGAAGCTTCTCTGGGCAGAGATCCCCGTTTTCCTTTACTTTGAAAAGATAATAGGTGAAAAATGCACAAAAAAAAACCTCAGGCAGAAAAAGGCCTGTGCTCCTCACCACATAATATACTATTTTTTCTAGCAATGCAGTATTTTAACATACTTGTTGGGAAATCAGCTATTCCTGGAGCAGTATCTGAATTTCCAATATGGAAATACATGAAATGCATGACGGAAGTTGTCAGAAACAGCTGAACATTCCCTGAATAATTGTAACATTTTCCACAGAGAAGTCTGCAAATCTGTACTGGCATAAAGCGTATGTCAGAAGCACCAAGAAGAATAAAAAGAAACTAATTACCTCTCTGACACTCTGATGCTCTTTACTTGATCTGTACATAACCTAACATTCAAACTGTCAGACTGACTTTTGAAGCAGACATTTGGAGCTGGAAATTCATATAATCTGGGATCTTTCTCCAACTCAAGCTTGCTTATTTGATTTTTAAACACCTTTTCTTCTTATCTAAACATATCTGCATTTAGAGAAACAGAGTAGTAGTATTTTTTAGTTCTTATACACAGATGGTTACGTTAGAGCAGTGGGAATGCTCTGAACATGGGGACTGCAAGGTGGTGGATTAAAAGCCATCAAGGATCCTATGACTCTGCAGATCTGGTGTTCAATAGAAGGACACTATTGCAGAACCTGAGTGAGTTCTGTCCAGAGGTCAAATTGGAGAATGTTCCAAATACAAGAAAACAAACCAAAACGTTCTGTTCTTAGCTATTGTATCTATTCTTCACAGGCACTCAGAAACCAAAAGAACAGAGTAAAAAAGAGCCCAGCAGCAGGCTACTAACATGAAATTGTACCTTTGGGAGGTTTTGATCTTAAAATTAATAAACCATTACAGCAAAAAGAAAAAGGACAGAACTTCAACTACCTGATCACAGCACATAGTCCCAAGTCTCAGAATCTTCATTTTTTTTCTTTCAAAAGATACTGGCTTTTGTCAATTGAAAATGTTTTTCAATTTGTCAAGGTAAAATATCATCACACCTGTTTAACTTTTCACAAATTCAGACAGCAATCATATCTGCACTGATTGTTGAGCTGATTATTACTGATAATCCTCCTCCTCAGAAGCACTCAGGAACCAAAACCACATGCCCTGAGCTACAATCTGTCATCTCTCATAAAAATAAAACTGACCATGCTTAGAGAGATCTTAAGGGAGAAGAAGCATTGCATGTTCCACCATTCTGGGAATATGTGACAGGCAGAAACTTATGATGCCTTAACCTGTGGCTAAAGCTGATTTACAACCAGTGGAGCTTCAATTTAATTCCAAATGAATCGGAAGTATTTGACACACACAGAGGGAAAAAAAAGGAACCTCAGAACAGAAAAACTTTCTGACAGTTTCACTGTTGCCTCTTCACTGTTCTGTCAGGCAAAGGTCCAGAGCCCTTGCCAGAGAGACTGCCTGAATTTTGGCCTGTAAAACATGCAGATGGTTCCTGTGCTGCTCAATGGTCTCAAGGTAGAAACAGCTCAGCTGCAGAGCCAGTGTGAAGAGGGGGCCAGGAAGTGGAAAACCCTGGCTTGGTTCTTTTTTGTTTTACTGTGCCCTCAGCTTTTTATTTCCTTGTGCTTCTCCGAGCTTAAAGAAGTTGGCCTTATGTAAAAGATGACCATATTTAACAGAGGACATTTCCTTCCTTCTGTTTTCTTCACAAATAAGGCCTCAAATAGCCTGTGACAAGGGAAAGTCAGGAAATACACAGCCATAAAGCTTTCTGGAATTTCTCATTTTAAAAGATATATGTCATGTTGTACTTTCTTAGAAAACTGGAAGGATACTTACTGTCAATCCTTGTTCTCCTGGTTTTCCTGGTTCACCCTTCAAATAAAAAAAAAAGAGTGAATTATTTCAGCAACACATCTTGAATACAGTTTTCTATCTAGTAATACAAAATATCTTTAAAATTTCCATCTTAAAACATGTATGGCAGCTAACTACACATTAAACATATTAATTTTTTGCTTTTTAACCTGGTAGTCCAAATCACAGACATCTTAAGAAGTACTACTTCACAATCGTGTAATGGTATAGTTCTCAAGTCAAGAGCAAAGTATTGGTGTTCTGACTCTTGTCCCTTGGTTCTAAACACAGTATTCCATTTCACTATGTTAAAGGACACAGAGAAAGGTTATTTTCACATATGTGCTGCATCCCACAGTTTATATATTCCAAGATTACTGGTCTGTATCATCACCTCAGTCAGCAGGCAGAACTTACTGTTGTCAATTACCATGTTCCATAAAACCATGAATATTGATATTCTGAAGCCATGAAATAATTACTCAGCTGTTAAATACCTGGACTGGCTTTCAAAAAGGTAACCCATCATGTTATTCTCTTTCTGTGGGCACAACTCTACATACAGTCAGAATTTATCTTCTCCCCTTTCTTCCCATATGAACACATATATAGTAAAACATGTCAGTCATAAAATATGGGCTAAAAATACCCATCCAAAAAACCCAGAGCTCCTATCATTTTAGTGGTCTGGTTTGCACATCACTCCCTTGAAAACCTAACTGAGCACAGGGCAGTCCATGCACTATTGTATCAGCACAGCTCCAGGGTCCTCTTTAGCAGCTTTGTCATAAAAGAAAGCCTGTCATAAAATTGATGAGAGCTGTTCTCATGTCGTTGTTCCTGGCAACTGAAAAGAATCAGAGCTGCTTCTCTGGCTATGCACTGCACTCAGAAGCACACAGGCGGCATCTGCAAGCACACCAAGGAGCTCTTGCTGGGAGCAAGAGACCATGGAGGCACATGTTCCTGGCCAGGCACTGCCCCAAAACACCATCTTAGAGCTGTGGCAATTGTAAACCTTCTTCCTTGAGAAGGACAGGCTGGAAGAGAAGCCCTGTTTTGTCTAACCCTGCAAAAGAGGCAATGTCTGCCTAATTGGTCACTAGAAGGACACCTTCCTATAGTTGTGTGATGCTGCAAGCCCCCAGCTCACAGCAGAGTGGAGCTGCTGTTTTCAGCTCACCAGGTCCACACAAGTCTCCACCTCAAAGACAAAGCTGTCCTTCCCTCTCAGCTAAGTTCTCCCTTTACAGCTCTTCTATTTGTGTGTTTCACACAGCCATGGAGGAACAAGCCCTCTGAGGGTCAGGAACATTAACCTGAGGGTACAGAACAGTAGCAAGGGGCAGCAAACTGGATGTTTTTTACCTGAGGGCTTGTTTGTATCTGATTCTAAAGCAGTACTATGAACTGATTTTCCATCATGTTATAGGGCTTAAGATAGCCACAGCTTAAAAACTATAAAAAGAAACTCTCTCTTGCCATCTAAAGTCAAAATCACTACAGAACTATTATAAAATGAAATGACCTCATTGCATAAAATGCATGACTCTCCTGTTATGAAAAACACTAATGACCCTTTCGCTAAAAGCACAAAGCCACATGCAGCCACACTGTAACTAGCAAGGCCAGCTGATTCTGCCAGCCCTATCTATGTGACCTATTAAAACACTATCACTGCAGTCAGAAAAGGATTCTGGTTTCAGTCTTGCCCTTACTAGATCAAACCAGCACCAACTCTGCTGACTACAGTCCATTTAACCACAATAAATGAACACAAGGGAGACCCAGAAGAGGCCCAGAGCCTGATGTGCCACAGGACTAACAAGAAATGAGAAGGTTGCCCAAGTAAAGCATCATGAGAGCTACAGACTTCTAATGTCATTTCATAACCTTGAGCTAGAACTTATGAGGGCAGGAGTGGTAAAAAAGCCAAGCCAAAACAACAACAGCAGCAGCAGTTCTAGAATCCTAGATATCTGAACCAGCCAGCTTTGCTAGATTTTCACAGAAAATTTTAGCAGCATTTCACTATTTTCATGCTATATTACATTTAGACAGCTAATACCTGAACAGGGTTAGAACAGGAGTGTAGGTATTTTCTTTCTCAGTTTTAGCTAAAAAAGGCCTTGCAGGAAAAAATTTATGCTGTCCTGGTGTCATATAACAAGTGATGCTTTTTCTTCAAGAAACCAGTTTCTGTTTCCAGTGCTGCTCCTCACCTTGCTGGTTCCCCATGTGCCTTCCTGGCCACAACCTTCACTTTTCATGGATGTGAACATGTGTGTGCATCTGTACACGTGCCATTCCATTTTTCATTACTCTCTCCTGCCTGTGATTCCATTTCCACATTGATAACACAGTGCCATTCATGGTGAAATAGTTACTTCTTTCAAAGGAATAAAAATTAAGGAGGCCACAAAATATAAAACACATACTTTTCTAAAAAATCATGTGTTTAGACATCTGTTTAAAAAGTGTGGGACTCATCCCATGCCTAAAACAAACAATACGCAATATACTGGATTCTGCTGTATGAAATATGGTGGTTGAGCCAAAGAAAATTGTAGTGGTCTTCTTGTTTAAAAATGGCAGAATCTAACTCCCAACTTCATTATACCCTGGGAAGCTTTAGCAGTTTATTACTTTATTCCATGACTTTTGAGGTAAAACCATTAAGAAGTGAGAAGTCAAGCTATGCTATGAGGCCTCATATTCAGTTTTACCTTGATGTTTGAATGGAAACATTTATTACTCGTGGAAAGGGGCAGACTCTCCTCACACAGCTATTAAACATCAGTGAGTGACTGAGAAACCTTAGAAAGTGTAGGGAAACTGCCAGGGGTGGGAGGCAAGGAACCTTGGCGGTACTTCTGGCCCTGCTATACACTTGTTCTGTGTGTGTGGGACTTCAGGTACACCCTGAAACTTGCCTGTGGTTCAGCTTCCACATGTCTTACTTGCCAATGTGACCTCAGAAAATGTCTTTGACACTCTGCTGGCAAACACTTGAGAGAAACGCGCTCACCAAAGCAGCAGCAGAGTAACTCACCGTTAAGCCGGGCATCCCACGAGGACCATCTTTGCCGGTGTCTCCTGGGGGACCTCTGGGTCCTGGTGGCCCTGGAGGTCCAGGGGGTCCAGCCTGTCCTTGGTCCCCCTAAACCAATAAAAACTCATCACAAAATTGGCTCTAGAGGCATCAACCACATAAAAAACACATCAATTCATCTATGAAGAGTGCAAGACAAGCTGGAAGAAGCTGCCATGAACTGCACAGTGGCTTCTTCACTGCTTATGGCAGAAACAGCACTTTGCCTTGAAGACCAACAGTTTGTATAGGTCCAGTGCAATCAGCCACAGAGCGGAAGGTTCAGATTCTAAACTGCTTTATTTACCACAGCGCATATGCCAAAATTTGGGATGGTCTTGATATATTTTACTCATCTAGTTCTCTAGAGCAAGTGACTGTTTTTGATAAGCATCTGTTTGCTTCATGATTTGCATAATCATAACAAAGCTGAGGCGAAAAAGAAAAGTTGCATCTGAAAATATACAGATTTGCACAGTAATTTTCCAAGCCCATGAATGATACATGGATAGATTACAAAACTGAGCATGGAAAATAACTGCCTCTTGATGGAGTTGTACATAATTTCCCATCTGTTTTGGGAGGCTGTTTTATAGTGACAATTAGCTAACTCTCTTCATTTTTACCTATTAATTTGCTAAAGTCAATTTTCCAGAGAATAGTTAAAATATATTACCTTCCCTTCTAAAAAAGAAAAGACACCCCAAAATGGTGCTTTAGTTATTTCCAGCACATCCCTGCAAACTGCTGGAAAAAAGCTGCCGGCAAACATGGCCCACTTAGCAAAGCCACCCACAGTCTTGTAACTCTTAATACCATTAACAGTTGCTTCATTTCAAAGCATTTTCAAGTGAACAACCTGCTAAAGAAGGCATCTGACAAAAAGGTACAGCAAAGAGCAAACTGAATGCAAAGAAGAACCAGACTCCAGTGAGATGAAGCACTACCTTAATGAGGCGGCGTTTAATGAGCTGCTGATCAGCAGACAGAAACCCATGATTGATTTTAGGAAACACCATCTGATCAGGCAGGTGAGGTCAAAGGTTGAAGATCAGAGATGAGAGAATTGAAGAATAGACATCAGAAGGCCCGAGAAAGAAATAAAGACATATTCATTAGATTTGTAATAGTTGTTATAATATGAACTGGTGCTTATGCCTGAAAGAAACTGTGCATTTTACTTTGGAAAAAGATTACCTCTGTTGTACAGGACATACTGCTATGATTTAAACCATATACAGTGAATATATAACTGTTTTCTCCCCAGATTTTGCATGAGAATTCTGCATTTGTATTAATTTTTTCATTACCCAGGCTTTAAAAATCAGTATTTTTTATATATTGTTCTTTCAGCAAAGCTTCTAGAGACAAAGCACCAGTTCAATTTTCAGTCAGATTTTCTAACCAGCATAGTGTGCCATGAAGAATGGTGTTATTTTTTATAAGGTCTGAAGTTCCAGCTTGACCAGATTGTTTCCTGCTTAATTTGCAAATCCACTTTGAAAAAATCTGGATGTACAGATTAAACCTCTGATATCTAACACAAATATCTATCTCCATGTGTAACCAGTACAGAGTTCACTGACATTTTCCACACTCATGTATGCCTCAGGGAAGCAGCACAGGAAAAATTCATCTGAAAATAAATCCTGACCAAGACCATGGGGAATGTAAGCATTTCCAGGGGTACACAGCTATAGATTTGATTCCATGCTCTGCATCAGGAGTACTTAGATCAATGCAAAGGCAGTGAGGATTGGCTTAGATCCACCATAAGAATTCACTGGTATTCCATGCTAAAAACAATTTTTCATGTGCACTTTTATGCTGATACAGAGAGACCTGACTGAACAGGTACATGTCAGCCACAAACCTTGACGGTGAGGATCTGATTACTGTGCAGAGCAGCAACTGTGGGGAAGCCTGGCAGACCCTAGGGACACAGCACAACATGGTACGAGAACAGCACGACACAAACATCACAGAGACCATTTACTGACACATGAACAGAACAAACACCACGTTTAGTACACCCCACACTGCCAACAGACAGGAAATGGCCTCTCTGTCATATGGGAAACAGAGTGAGGTCTGCACTGCACTGCAGAGGCAAGCTGATACTTCACAATGAGAATATCAAGAGATTTTAGAAGGAGCAATCCCATGAAGGTGTCTCTCGTTAAAGTTACAATAAATTGCTATGATCATTTGCAAATTGTTAAGACTATCAGCCAGCAGATGGTTGAGCCACTTTCAATGGAAATGTACAACGGCACTTTGAGATCTATGTGGAAAGCCTTGACTCTGGATTGCTGCAGAAGCTGACAGCAATGACAGTATGCTCTGAAGAGCTTTGCGTAACTAATATCCTGCTCCTCACATTCTGTTTAACATATGACATTCAGCACATAAACTGGTAGCACATAAACAACTAGGAACACTGAACATAAATCTACTGCTAGATCTTGGGTACTCCATAATGGTCAAAGTTTTCAAGACATACACAGCAGTATTTTCATATCCATTTTCACCCCCTCAGCCGCTATATGCCACATATGGCTTCTCATATACTACTCTACCGAGATGTGCAGAACTTGTACTGTACTGGCACAAAAAGAGAAGGGTGTGGTGATTGTGGCCTGCTGTCACACTATAAGGGGGTGAATTTTGCTCTCAGTTCAACACCTTTCTTGAGCTGCCTGGTAGGGTGTGAATTAAACCTTCTGATAAACCTTATGCAGTTGAGCAGTGAATTCCTAAAGAGAAGGAAATCCCTCAGTCCCCTCCTTGCCTTTAGCATAGCACACACTGTTAGAAGCAGAGGCTTGTTCAATGGCAGAGAGACAGTAGGCTGAGGAACATTCAATAAAATACATCCAGGGAGCTCTAAGGCCCCTATATGCCCACAGACCACCTTTATGAGGCAGAGTTGGCAGCACAGCCCCTCTGGGGGCTCCTCCTGGAGCAAAGAGCTGCACCATGCCAGCCTAGCACCTCCTAAAGGGAAGGCAGGTTGTGCCCGGCTCTGGCTGCCAGGCAAGGGCCCTTCCGTGTGAAGGTTCTGCTGGTGCAGCCCATGTTGCTGCAGCACACCAGCTCTCTGCAGCCCGGCTGGCCTGCTGGGCAGCACCAACAGGCCAGGGCAGCCTGCCAGGTCTCTCAGCTGCAGCCGATTCTTTTAATGTGGCAAATACTTGCTCTGTTCATCACACCAGAGAGCCTGTGGACCACAAAAACTGCACCAGTCTTTACAAAAAAGGGAGAGTTACTTTTTGATGCGTACATGTCTTCACCAGCATCTTGGAGTTGCATTTAGCATTTTTATTCCTGCTCTACATCCATAAGATGAAGCTGAGACCCTGTAAGTTGATCCTATAAAGCCAGTGGCTAAATGCAGCTTTCCCACTTCATTGGGATGAACTGCAGTGTGCCTAACTGCATTGCTCAGTGACCTGAAATCTCCTCTTTAGAAACAAATAAACAGAAAACAAAACCAAAAAAGGCTAAAACTCACAACATATAAAGAGACTCACTCCTGAGACACTGATAAGACTGGAATGATACATCATTTAGGAAACAGATGTATCAAGTTTTCATTTATGCTATTATGGAATATAAATTAAAGAAGTTATTAGAGAGTAATGTGTCAGAATCTTTACATCTGTGACTCATTAGCCCTGCTGTGCACATGATCCATTTCTCCTCTAGATAAAACTACAACACCCATGAAATGAAAATGAGCACAAACAAGAAACCTACATAAGAAGATAAATCTGAATAGCAAGCAATAAATGACATTTATTGAAAAAATGAATAAACAGAAAATTTTTAAACAGCTTCATTTTTACTCATCAGCCTTTAGAATTACAGCACAGTAATTTTCAGTTACCTCTAAATTAGCATATAAACAATTTGATGTTTTAAACTCATATTAATTTTGATTTATTTCATCTTCAACATGAAGGAGAACCAAGAATTAATCAAGAAATGTGCTTATTTAGAAAATACAGTGGTTTGAAAGATTTTCTTTCTCCTTGAGAAGAAATGAAAGACACTGGAAAGATTTGTGTAGCTGTACCCAGAATTATTTACTATTCATCGGTGCACAGTCCAGCCCCAGCATTCCCAAAGCTTCCCAACACCACAGAGGCAAGTTCAAGATTAGCTGTCAGTACTGCAGCTTTTTGCCTACATAAACAACATATGAGAAAAGGGTCCTTCCCATTCTTCCATCTGCAGCTTAGTTACTTCTTCCAGTTTGTTCCCCAAGTAGGACAAAGCTTTCCTTCCTTTGCCCAAAGTGGTCATAATCTTAGACCTAACAGTCAGACACATGAAATGCCAGTTTGGACCTGGACCATCTCCCCATGAGTAACATGTATCTCTGGAGAGTGCCAGAAACATGGGAACGCTAAATGGAACCCAGCAAAGACACTACAATAGGGCCATAGTTTTTGCATGTGTGGGAGGCTTTAGAAGGCATTGCACCCTCTGGCATCCATGAAAGATAATGCTGGCACACAATGAGCTTCTAAAAGGGCATAAAAAGAGCTATCCTTCCCACAAAATGAGTTCTCTTCCTTTCCTGTCACTCTGCTATAAATATAGCCACAAATATCCCCTGGATCTGTTTTATTTTTTCCCTATCGAAGGCTGTTCTGAACGACGGATTCAAAGTTACTCAATTTTCTCTTTATTTGGTTTGATTCTTGAACTGCACATAGGAAGGGCTCTTGTTCTACACCCTGGGAGGCCCTAACAGAATACAAAACACTACAGCCATCAACAGCGACCACTGGTCTACTAAATTCCTCTGCTGACAGCTACTCAAGCTCACCCTGAAATGTTAGCTGGTTACAATTTCTAAATTAGCACAGTTGCTGCATGCCTCACCGCCATTTTTGCCCAAATGCCAAGCAAAACACGAGGCCTGATGGAGGCCAACAGCCATGGGACAACATTACCCACATGAAAGTGCAGGTAAAGCCTACTTGCCCCATACAATGGCTATTGAGAAAATCCAGGGATGCCAGAACATCATAACATTCCTCTGTCTGATTTTTTTACTTGGATGAAATAGCTCTCCTGTTACATTCATCACAGTCTTGAAGGATGTAATTCCCACTAGCTGTCCTGGATTTTGCACAGTACTCTCAGCTTTGTCCATTGGTCCACATGAGGTCAATATTGCAAGGTCATCATAACCTTGTCAGAGGCAAGTATGATAACATTAGGCAGCAGTGTTACTGGTTTTACACTGTGCTCCACACACTCCAGTTTGGCTACTGCATTTGCTCAGTATAGTAAATGTCACAGTCCTCTCTAGGATTTTCCTTCTGACCTGCCAATAAACCCAAGCTGCACAAGCTTGCATGTTCCTGTGAAGACATGGTAAATGAGACAGGAATTACCACCTGCTGTTCTCTTGCACTTCCTAAGGTTACAGCCAGCTGCTGCTATTTCACATCAAATCACACAGGCTTCAGGCCAGAGTGATCCTGACACTCTTTATGGCTGCTCTGCCTCTCTCCAACACCACCTCCAGTTCTAATTAATCCCTCAGACTGAGTGCCAGTCCTGTGGCTAATTATTGTACCTGCCCTGGGGAATACAGTGTTTGGTATCACCCTGTACAGTGCCATGGACTCTCAGCAGGAGCTCTCTTATATAATCCCTTTTATCATAACTGCTGCTTTCTCCAACAGCAAATCTGCTAACAAAACCAGTACGCCACAACAAGACAAGAATCCAGAAATTTCTTTTCACTTGTAAACATTCAGCAAAGAGTTCTGATTTGAATACATTATATAATGATCCAGACTTTGCAAAAAAAATAGTAAAAATGCAGTGTTTAAGATCTAAAATAAACAGATCACTGTAAAAGCATTATTTCCTATAATGACCTCTGTGAAATCTACCTGACACTGCATTCAAACTGAATAAAACTGGACAAAGCCAACGCTTCTCTACTTTTGCCCTATTATTAGATGAATTTTCAGTGAGGAAAAATGTCTTTTCT